ATTAAAATAATGAAGATGATAATATCCATGATTAACACCCTACACAATAAAAATGGTTAATCAACCTCTCATAATTACAAAAAAATGAACAAAATAAAAATAATATGATTGGTTGAATGAGGTTTTCACGGTTTTTACAAATTAAGTGGTTTTTATTTGAACGTTCCCCTATATATATATATATATATATATATATATATATATATATATATATATATGAACCATTGTGTCACATACGAACAAAAATTGACATATATATAAACTTGGACTACATAGCATTTATGAACACAATATGAACATGATAACAATAGCTGCTACACGAAAGAAAATAAATAAAAAAACAGGCTTGAACACAATATGAACAGCTTGTGAACAATAGTTCCTTCATTATGAACACATTCAGGAGCGAACCAATGTTGAGATATACAGCTAGTGTACATATGAACACAATATGAACACTTGTGAACAATAGTTCTTTTATTATGAACACATTCAGAAGCAAATCCATGTTGAGATATGCAGCTAGTGTATATATGAACACAATATGAACAGCTTGTGAACAATAGTTCCTTCATTATGAACACATTCAGGAGCGAGCCAATGTTGAGATGCACAACTAGTGTACATATGTACACAATATGAACAGCTTGTGAACAATAGTTATTTCATTATGAACACATTCAGGAGCGAACCAATGTTGAGATATGCAGCTAGTGTACATATGAACACAATATGAACACTTGTGAACAATATTTCATTCATTATGAACATTGGGTTTATCCATAATAGCTTGAACAATACCGAAAACTATACTACCGGATCTCTTCTACCAATCACAAATTCAAAAATTTATAGATAGAAAAATCAATATTATTAAAAAAAAAGATCAATAATAAATTAAAAAAATTATAAATTCAATATTAGATGCCTTGATTCATGTCACTACTAGAACATATATGAACACAACTGAACGTATATGAACACTAGTTGCAGAGTGGTAGGTCAAACATCACAAGCAACTGATGGAGCCGAATGGTTATCAGAATTGGATTGCATAACAAATTAAGTTGACAACTCATTCCATTTAAACACATGAATTGGGCTCGTAATAATAATTAAAGAAAAAGCTACCAACACCATATGAACTATAAAAAACACAAAAACGTCATAATCAACATAATTTCGATTAAAAATTCATATGAACACTTTTGAACACACACAGTTCATTAGATGCCTTAATTCATGTCCCTACTAGAACATATATGAACACAACTGAACATATATGAACACTAGTTGCAGTCTATGGCAGGTCAAGCATCACAAGCAGTTGATGGAGCCGAATGGTTATCAGAATTGGATTGCATAACAAATTAAGTTGATGATGAACTTATTTCATTTGAACATATGAATTGGGCTCGTAGTAATAATTAAAAAAAAGCTATCAACACAATATGAACTATAAAAAACACAAAAACGTCATAATCAACATAATTTCGATTAAAACGAATACAATAACATATTAATTCATTACCAATACAAACGCTTTGATTATTGTCTTCATTTTCGGAACTCGAAGTTCGATTGTCATCGTAAACCATTTTAATCTTCTCATTGTTGTCGAGTTGTTTTCCAATGGGTTTATCCATATTAGCTTGAACGATATCAAAAAACTTTACTATCGGATCTCCTTTAACAATCACAAATTCAAGAACATTATAGATAGATAAATTAACATTATAGAAAAACAAGATCAATAGTAAATCAACAATTATGATATTTTTTGATTTTGTAACTCTCAATTACTTATATGGGGGTTACTTACAAACTAAAATTACATATTTACCCTTATCATTAAATTATAAGATAAATATGAACCTAGAAAAAAAATGGATTTTCATTGGTTGAATTTGGTTAACAAAATTAATACAATATTCTTGGTTAACTTTTGAACCAAACACTCTCTCTCTGTCTCTCTTTCTAATGATATATATATATATATATATATATATATATATATAGTTTGTTTCAAATGCAACTCATCGCATTTGTACAACCAATGCAACCTAATAAATTGAAATATTTATGGAAATGATAAGAGTTTATTTATTATGATTTGAATATTTATGAAAGATGAATAAGGTTCATTAATTATGATCAATATTTTATATTAGGAAACAATCAAAACTTCTATGAAATCACATATTCATCAAATTAAATAGACGGTTGAGATTGAGTTGTATTGGTTGTACAAATGTAAAGGGTTGTATATAACCAACCCCTATATATATATATATATATACATTGTCATATTGATAAAGTGGATGTAAAGTGTAAACACAATGTTTGCTGCCGTGAGAATTTCCTTAACGGTGAGCATAGGGTATGACAGAATACTTGTTCGATGTTTTATAAGATACTAGTCTTGTACCCGCGTAATGTGGCGGGAGCCATGAATTTTAACGATTTTGAAATTCTACTGGTTTTATAAGATAAGATTTAACGATGATATATGTTACACTTGGTCTTTACATATTAATACAATTTGAATAAATAAGAGTTATGGTTCCAATTACAGACTATCGATGAAAAAAAWTGTATGACAGTTTAAAATCCAACATATTTAAACGACTCCACAAATGAAGAAAACTACAAATTTGACGGATCATAAGTCATAAAAAGACCAAAAAAGATGAGTTTTAGAATGAAATTTCAACTGCTTATCCTCTTTCTTGTCCAGAAACTCAGATTAAGGTTGAATTAATACATGTATATATATTTTAAAAAAACCCCAAGAACATATTAATTCAAAACATATTATACAGTGCAATTTGGACAGACTAAGGGGCTGTTTGTTTCCCTCTTAATGGTGACATTAAGAGGGAACCTCTTAATCGGTCAGAGGTGAGGCATGTTTGGCAAAAAAAAAGCCTCTTAATGGTTACCCAAGGCTCTTAACCATTTTGAGGGTGAATCGATGCTAAACCATTCAGATTGTTTCTTTTCCCTCTTTACCCTTCCATACCTTTACCAGCCCACTCTCATCCTCTCCTTCACCACATCGCCCACTCTCATCGTCTCTTTTACCAGCCCACTCTCATCGTCTCCTTCACCACATCGCCGATGACCTCCATCTTCCAGACCTCCATCGCCGGTGACCTCCATCGCCGATGACCTCCATCTTCCACACCTCTGTCGTCGGCCGCACCTTCCACAGCTTCTCGACGCTCCATCGCC